TTTATCCTTTATTAGTGTTTTGAACAAGATATGGTCCAAGTGGACAAAAGAGAAATGACATAAACATAAACAAAGATATGATATGAAATGATAATATGGAAACATAAAAGTAAGAAATAAGGAGTAAAAAGAGAATATAAACAAAATTAAACAAGGATATTGTTAGTGAATTAGTAGTTAGTGGTTAGAACATATGATCAATGATGATTAATTCTTGTACTTAGACCAAGGTTAATGAAAACTTATTAGAGGATTGATAGAATCAAAGCCTCCTAACAATGACTTTCATAGGTAGTGGACTTAAGACAAGCAACTAATCATACTTGGACTTTCAAACATAAGTTTGAGCCACGAATGATCATTTTCCGATTAAGGGACACTTTAGCGCTATGTTAAGCAATCGTAATCGGGTTTATCTAGAAACCACGACTATCTGAGGCCGGTCAATAATAATGTTAGTGTTAACACATGTTAGAGAAGTGATATGTAAATCACTCTCCTAAAACATACCACACAAAAAGAAAAGAGGTAGTGATCTCATCATAATCAAGATTTTTCATCAATTAATCAAAGGTAATCTATCACTATTCCAAAGTACGGAGAATTATCTCAATGATTATTCGTCCATAGATTTGAAATAATGAAGATTAAACAACCTTGATAATCAACAATCTATGATCCATAGATTTCATCGATCAAAAATAAAAAAGAAGAAGAAAGAAAATTAAAATGAAAAGAAATTTCAATTTGATTCTTAAATCGATTAAATCATCATCAATATCAATCACCTCTCTTGGTGGATAAAATCGACACCCAAAGTCCATTGATATTGATGAGATCTTATCAAAATTCAAGGTCCAAAACAAAATCTATTTTAAAAAATTATTTTAAAAGAAAAACAAATATTAGAAAAATTATTAAAAGAAAATTGAAAGAAAATCTTAAAAAAAAAGAGAGAGGTTTTTAAAAGAAAAACAAATGGTGGTGGTGTTAGTAAAAAGGCCACACGGCCCAAATTCTTAAAAAAAGAAAAAAAATTGAAATAATTGAAAAGGAAAAAAAAGAAAGAAAAAAACAAATCAGAATCATCATCATCTTCTTCTTCACACGCGACACTATTCACCATAACTTCGAATCAAAAATTCAACGGATCGGAACGGCGAATCTCCATTTTGGTGTCATCTCAACCAGAATCACAAGGTGAATCCAAATATACACAGAATTTCAACCAACAGAGCTCATACGAAAAGAGATTCAGAGACGAGAGTTCATCGGCAAAGCTCCAATACCTTCGAAAATGGAGAGTTTAGCTTCAATCTTCTTCTTCTTGCTTTTGTGAATGCGAATCCTGTTGTGGTTGTTGAATGAAGTTGAAGTATAGTGAGATTTTATGTGGAAAGTTGAATTGGGTGAAGCTTGAAGAATGGTTGAGGATGAATTTCGAAGGTGAAATTTGAAGGGAAACTGAGGAGAAAAAATGTCAGAGTGATTTTGGCTTCAAAGCTTGAAGAAATGAATGAGGTATGTGTGGTATTTATAGATTGAGAGTGAGTGAAAAGTTTTGCCGTTTTGTGTTTTTTCATTGCGTTTTTGGTTGTTGCAAGTTATGCGTGACCTGCTGAAAATTCATGTCGTTTTTACTCTTTTATCTTTTGCAGCTCACTCACGTGACATGGATTAGCTGCTTTTGATTTCAGCTCAGATTTAAATATCTGACGTGGATTGGCTTTCATGGCTCACTTATATTTTGCACAGCTTGGCTCTCGTGGTATTTGTTTTTTGCTGCAGCTTGTGAACATGGCTTGGATACATGACGAATTTGCGTTCACCCTTATGTAAGCTCTTTGACAAGTATGACTCAGCAACTACAGAAAGAAGATCTTTCATCTGAATCTCAGCACCCATAAATGTGATTTGTCCATCAAGATGAACTGTAACCTTTGAAGTAAGTGCAGAATCTTGAAGAAAATACAGCAAAGGCTTCTTGATGTTGAATTTGTCATTAAGGTATAAAAGAGACGACGAGTCAGATGAGAATGGTTGTTGAGGTTCATTAATGGCTGACAACTGCAATTTCGTCAAGTCTAATAACAAGGATATATTTGCACCATCTGTACGCAACTCGGCAGTCCCAGATTTTAGGAGATTTGAAACTGTATCCTGCTTAGTGCATTGCTCAACAATGCCAAAGCCTAAAAGTACTGCATTCGAGCAGGATTCTTGTGCATCGATTGATACTGGCGACCATTGGGCTGAGGAATCAACATTGACAAACTGATTGTCATCAAACCATTTATTTTGGGTTTTCATCGGCTCTACAAAAGGACTCGCCTTAAGAAAAGGATACTGATAATTGAGCATATCTGGTTTTGCAAAAGAAGAAGGTGCAAAAGTTTGACAATCCTTGATGTGTGATGTGGGGAAGGCAGTCTTGTTGTCTAAGAGATTGTTCCAAGCCTTGCCACTCAATATGTAGCGGATGGCAAATTTCATCACGTCGAGTGGAATATAGAAGACAATACTGTAGAGCCAGATTACTCCTGCCCAACCCCAACCAATTCCTTGTACCTTTGCAAATCCCCAGTTGGCATATACTGCTATTAATGTAGCAATCAGCTGAGTAATGAGGAAAGCAATGACTAAAAGTGCTCCAGGGCGTTCAAGAAACGACCAACCACGAGAACGGGTCACAAATATCAAAGCCTGGCTAACTATACTGACTTGAAGATACAAAGCAGACATCATTTCATCATGATTCAGATGCCTAACTCCAAATTTGTCAGGGAAGAATTGATTTTCTTTAATTGCCCAGAAGAATATTACGGTCATCAGAGCTAAATAACCTCCAAGAACAATCCCAGTAGCAAATATTTCATTCAATTTCCAGCTATCGGGTAAGGGAGATGGAACCACCCTATCTTTTGAAATTGTCATGATTGAGATCAGGTAATGCAGCTGTTCAGAAAGTTTCTCAAAGTTTTGTGGAGTTGACTTGTAAGCATTGGAGCCGGTATATGGATCACGAAACAAAGCATCGAAAGTAATATCCTTTTGTCCACTATTTTGAAGTATGAACTGTACGACTTGTTCGCGAAAGGAAAGAGGAAGACCCTTCTTGAGTAACCATTTATCAGCAACATCATATGCATTATCTGATCGGTTGTATCGCAACTTCCTGATAGGCATACCATCTCCAATATCCACATCAAACACATAATCATACTGAGCACCATCGAAGAGAGGGCGACTTGATCCTTCTGGTCCATCAACAACTTCACCAATTTTATCCCATTTCTGTTCTGCCATGTTCCATGCATAAGCCACCCCATTATCTCCCTCTTTAACTACTTTTGTCTGGCCATCAGAAGTTCCTGGGATCTTCAGTGCATCCAAGCCTGGTAACTCCTCCAATTTTAATCCACCAACCCTCTTTCTGCTAGACTTGTACTATGAAAGTTGCGAAGTGTATAAATCAAGCTCTAGCTGGTCAGCAAAATAATCTTGATTTATGGTCCAAATGCGTACAACTCCATCGGAACATGCTGTCACAATATCCCCATTTTCCATAAATTTTGTATCCCAAACACAACCGGGATGCTCTATGCTCTGAACACAAACTCCATCTTTCCATATTTTTGCAAAACGGTCTTCGCTACCACTGACAATAAGTCCTGATGCATGTGAATCAACTGAATAAACAATTGCAGTATGACCAACCATCTCCATTAACACTTCACCACTTACTGCCCATAATCTGAGAGAACCATCATGGGATGCAGATAGGATTCCTAGATCAGACATCACAGCCAAGCCACGAACTGTATCTGAATGTTCTTCAAAAGAAACTCCAAACACATTGTCATCGTCAAATCTACCAATGCAGGCCACCCGAAATATCTAACAGATGTATGCACTGAATTTGCAGATAATACAAGCATTCTGTTTCCAGTTGTCACTTTCCAGGACAACAAATTTCCAGATCCCACTTGATTTGAATCAATCAACTTTTATCTGTCACCTTTATTCTGTTCATGGTTGCCAAGACAACAATTTTCCAGAGCCCGCTTGATTTGGATCGATCAACTTGTATCTGTTACTTCTGTAGCATCTTCTGAATCATTTATATTGGAAGTTTGAAATGCTCATATGAGAACTTAAGCACAACTACCCAAGCCGAGTATTGTAAGAACCATACTCGAACAACCCTTGTGGAGAAGCACAAAAACGTACAGCCCATACAACCGAAAGAATATCATGATTTTGTAACCGGTTTTATTGCCAAATGTCTCTCAATCAATATATCCACAAACGAGCGAATCTTATTCCTTTGCTTAAAGTCTAGAAACTCACGAACAGTCGTGCCTTTTTCTGCATCCGTAGTTTTCACATCCTTAGTAATAGAGACTGCAGGTTTCAAATACTTCTCCAAAATAGTTCTCGAGTTGCTAGATCTGGTCTCTGCCAGCCATGCGATCTAAAAATTCTGATATAGCAACTTCAGTTTCACGTTTAAGAAGTCTTCTTACTGAAACCCATGTGTCCGTTCCTAAGACTGGTGCCACTCCTAACATAACCGAAACCAATGCAGAGCGAACATGTTGAGATGAATCTGTCGATAACTCCTTTACACATGGTAGAATATGCTGAATGGCTAGTTCAGGACTTAATGTGCGGGAGAACTTAGTCACTTTCTCAGCAGCAGCAATACGTAATTCCGCCTCATTATCATGCAGCAGCCGAACATAAGCGGGTACCAATTCCGTCTTTTGTAAGAGTACTTTCACCGAATTCATCCACCAGACAGAGATCGTGAAGTAGCATGCTCAGCATCATCTCTACTTTTGTTATGTAATGCCGTCAGTAACAGCTTTTGTGCGAAAGTTTCATTTATTGATCTAGGAAACATACAAGCTTCATCGAGAAGAGCAGTAATGCCTCCAGGATTCTTTTCAATGAAATCCAACATATTTTGATTGCCAACAAACTCAATGTAACTCCAATCAATCTCCTATTTCTTGTATTCTTCTTGCTCCATTGAACTTATCTGAATGTTGTTCATTGTTAGCTTCATAATGCCGTATAATTGGTCTAGGTCCTGTAGAACTCCTGCCCTTGTTTCCAAAGTCCTCCAAGTCATCAACACTCTCATCAATCATAATGTTGTGGACACCATTAGAATCATATTTCTTGCCAAAAACAATAACCTGCAACTTGTCATAACCAGCAAGCACACCAGCACCAGCCACAGCATGGAGGATGTTAGCACCAGCTCCCTTGAACAATGACTTGGTTCCCTCGTTCTTGAGGATTTGTTGGAATGCATCCAAGGAACTCTTGTATTTGACAGCTTCTCCTGATGTCATCATCATTCTTCTCCTAACTGTGTCAATGGGGTATGAGGCTAGACCAGCACCATTGGTGATGAGCCACCCAAGTCCAAAACTGGCGAAAAACCTATCCTGCAATTTTCCAGTCAGAAGAACTGGTTTGAGGGAATCATACATTCCAAAGTAGAGACCACGGTACACAATGATTCCAACACAGGAAATGTTGAAACCACGGTAAAGCCCAGCAACTCCACCAGTTGCGAGGGTCTTCTTGTAGACATCGACAAGACCGTTGAATTGTCTTTCTCCACCCTTCTTAGCTGCCTTAGCGTCATTGGCAAGACGGGTACGGGCATAGTCAAGTGAGTAAACAAACAAGAGGGATGAGGCACCAGCAGCACCTCCGGATGCCAAGTTGCCAGCAAACCACTTCCAGTAACCATCTCTGTCCTTCTTGAAGTTGAAAAGCCTCTTGAAGTAATCTTTGAATGCAAAGTTCAATGCCTGAGTGGGGAAATAACGAATGACATTAGCAGTGTTTCCTCTCCATAGAGCAACCAAACCCTCATCGGCGGTTGTTCTTTTAAAACAATCACCAATGCCCTTGTATGGCTCAGAAAGTCTTCCAGTCTTGATCATCTCATCCTGGTTTTGGATCAAAAGCTTAACACGCTCAATGGGAGCAGCAACAGTTTTGGAAACTGCAGCTGAAACACCACCCATGAGAAAGTCAAAAAGAAAATGACTCTTTTCTGCTGGAGCAGCAACAAACATAGGAGAAGCATTGGTTGCAACTGAAGATAAATCAACAGTTGTTCTGCATGCAGGAGCCAACGTAGCGTTTGAGTAATTCCCATAGGAGTATTTTTGGAACATGGCAGGTTGACGGAAGCTTCCACCATAACCTGATGAGACACCAGATCGACGATGGATCTGTCCAGTGACCTTCTCCATGATTGTAGGGTGTTGATCAACCATGGTGACTTATCCTTTCATGTAGGGTTTTAGCGATAAAATGAGAGAACGAACGAGAGAGACGCAGGAAGATGTTTGTGTGGAGGTGTGTACGTTGTTTGAAATTGATCTCCTTGCTTACTGGATTTCTTGCGCGAAAAGGTTCGAGACAACTGCTTTTGTAATCCCGCCGAACCTTTCTTAGCAAAATCTCTTGCTTGTTTCCATCTCTCGCGAGCTTGTACCGTTTCTCTTACGTGTTTTTCCGCAGCTTCTCTCGAGTAATGACCATGAACTACCTCCTACTTTCTAGACGTCTGGTGCAACAATAAACTAAAACATGCACATTGGATAGCCCACAAATTCTGCCAACAAAGAATTACCTATACTGTGCCAACCATTGTTTACACATATCAAGCACAGGAAGTGCATTTGCATGCAGTGCCTGATGAGCAACATATTGAACACCAGCCACACTTCCACTTCGCGAAACAATTTGAAATGCACTTTTTAAACGGCCACAAACTACACAAGCAAGAACCTCAACAGAAGACAGGGCGTATCCTTCCTGATTTGCTTGCGGACTCCAAAGCTCTTGCTGAAGATTTCTATCAACCCAGTCTTGATTTGTCACTCTTCTAATTCAGATAGCTGCTAAACACGAACCATATTTGAAAGACCTTGAATAATAACTATGCCTTGAAAATGATCTTGAAAACTTGTATGATGCATGTCCTGTCTTGAAAACTTGAATGACATTTGAAAATTGGACTTTGAATTGTGACAATCATCTTGTCTTGTTAAACTCTTGACAACCTTCAATCATGCTTTAAAATCACTTGGAAATGACACACTTAAATGAACGCTTTGTACTTGCATCCCAAAACAAACATCCACCAATCTTGACTTGCACAGACAAACCTTTGAATCTTCAGTTAAAACTGAATCTCTTTGAGTTTATCTGAATTTATATCGAGGAAAATAAATCCATAGATGAACACAACCTGTACTGATGAATCTTGACCATAATAGTCTGGACCAAACTTCTCATATAACACTGCTTGATAAACCATTGGATTTCAACACCAGACAATTTGACCTTGAACAATCACATTTCCTGAGAAAATAGCCCACTACCACGGGTAATTTATAATTGAAGCAAACTCTTGATAGTTTGACCAAGATGAGGTCAAACTTCCATCTGATTTAGACTTGAATGAATGTCCTTGCCATCAACCTCCTTGCAAAACCCTAAACACACAAAGAAGAGGAAACAAGCAAAAATGTAAAATATTTTTGGTATTTTGGTTAGAGGTTAGTAAAAATAAACAATAAAAAGCAAGTAAAAAAACAAATAAGGGTGGGAGAGCCAAAAAGTATGATCTTGTTTGCGTATGTAATGATGCAAATGAAATGTGGGATCTTAGGGGTAAAAATTAGGGTATTACAGCTGCCCCTATTTAAGATTCTTCTATCCGGAGATAAGAAGATTGACATCTTTGTCTCGACCAGATAGAAGAGACTTAAATATAACACTTAACCCAATTTTTGGCCCTAAGAGACCACAAAATGATATGATTATGCTAATGGTATGCAAACACAAGACCTCTGTGGGGAGAAAATGCCACAGGAGACAAACAAAAGTTCGGGAGCAAAAGAAGAAAAGAGACTCCACAAGGGAAAACAAAAGAGCAAGATCCTATTCCGATAAAGGAAAGGAACGACTCAACAGGGAAAGAGATATCAACTGCCAGTTACTAGGCGAATGTAGTCGATCCAAAGAGAACAGGTAAAATGCTTCTACTGGTTACTGAGTAGAAAATAAGCGTAATAAACCAAAGGGGGTGAGAATATTACCGACTACCAATCAATAGATAGCACAATAAAGGCAATATACTCAAAAGGTGAAGAAACATTACCAGATACCCAGTACTAGGTAGAAAAATTTGGGTAACGAACTCACAAGGAAAGATTACCGACTACCGATTACTGGGTAGAAAAATATGTCGATAACTGACCAAAAAGGATGAGAAAAATACTCAAAAGGGTGAAGAAACATTACCGGATACCCAGTACTAGGTAGAAAATTTTGGGTAATGAACTCACAAGGAAAGATTACCGACTACCGATTACTGGGTAGAAATATATGTCGATAACTGACCAAAAGGAGGAGACAAATGCTACCTACTACCTATCACTAGGCAGAAAATAAAGGCAACAAGCTCGGGAGGAAGGATTATCTTTTACCGGTCAAATGGGTAAAGCATAACCAACCAAAAGGGGTGAGAAATATTACCAGTCAATAGAGGTAACATACTCGAAAGGTGAAGAAACATTACCGGATACCCAGTACTAGGTAGAAAAATTTAGGTAATGAACTCACAAGAAATACCTGCTACCAATCAATGGGCAGCTCAAATCACACAACAAACTTCTCAAATAAAGAGACAACCATTTGTTGGGGTGAGTTTTATCTTGTTGGAGACATACAAGTTGCTCAAATAAAGAGACTGTCATATGAAGTTGGACAAGCAATCACCATGAGAGTGTTATCAAAACATCGTTGGGGAAATCAAATCTTCATCTTCTGATGGGAATCAATAACAGATTCCTTCCGAGGAAAGTAAATCCTCAAAAATACCTTCTCATCATTCAGGTTTCACAGCCCAGGGAAATCCAAAATAACCGCTGCAAAAGACCAAAGTTCAATCCAAGAACAAACTGGAGAGAAACGGTCAAACAAGACTCGACCCAATGAGGAAATAACTCAACTGGGGAACAATTCCATCCAGATAAAAGCTTGGGCGGAAAGCTAAACAACATCTTCCACGAGGCATAAACTCAGTGGGGAATTAGAAAGGATAGGTATTTTCTGCTTAAGGGTGGACACTCTAATGGAGAGAGGACACACGCATTCCGCGGGGATAACAACACCGGCGAAAGGGAAACACCAAAAAAAATGCAAGATATACAATGCAACAAGAACATGCTATGCTCAACCAAAATGAATGCGCATGCAATGCATATGAGTATGAATATGCTGACAAAACAGACAAAAAAGGCAAACAGAGGGTGAACAAAACATCACAACACCACTGAAATACTCAGCTTATCTCAGCAAATCAGAGATATCATTGGAGATCGTGCTGGAGATCAGCAACAGAAACCCTGCAAGAGATACACAAGAGCCATCAAAGGAAAATAAATCCTACTACAAGGCTTAAATCTCGCCGAGGAGATAAAGATATCGTTTGGGGAGGAAAGCTAAACAAACATCTTCCACGAGGCATAAACTCAGTGGGGAATTAGAAAGGATAGGTATTTTCTGCTTAAGGGTGGACACTCTAATGGAGAGAGGACACACGCACTTCGCGGGGATAACAACACCGGCGAAAGGGAAACACCAAAAAAATGCAAGATGCACAATGCAACAAAAACATGTTATGCTCAACCAAAATGAATGCGCATGCAATGCATATGAGTATGAATATGCTGACAAAACAGACAAAAAAGGCAAATAGAGGGTGAACAAAATACCACAACACCACTGAAATACTCGGCTAATCTCTGCAAGTTAGAGATATCATTGGAGATTGTGCTGGGGATCAGCAACAGAAAATCTGCAAGAGATACACAAGAGCCATCAAAGGAAAATAAATCCTACTACAAGGCTTAAATCTCGCTGAATAGACAAAGATACCGCTTGGGAAAATATCCAAAGATCAACCTTCAACCATCAATAATTCAACAAAAGGGAACAACAATATGAACTCCGCTTCGAGAAAAAAACTGTTGGAGAAAACAAAGCAACACAAATTTTCCAACTCTGTCTGGGGAATAAGAAGTTAACATCATAGCAAAACGTCCAACTGTGGGGGATTTTAAATCAACACCCAATCACAAGGTGAGAGAAAACCCGACAGGTGACTGCTATGTCAACACTTCTTAGAAGTAAGCAACATTGTTCTCTACTTGTGGAATAATCCAAAGTAAATATGCATAACCTCTGCTAGGAATCATTAAAGACAAGTCTCCGCATGGGCAATAACATCAAGGAAAGGTGGTCCTCAAACTACTCAACTGTCTGATCATAACCTGGCTGGATGAAGGAAACATACTCATCTGGAGAAGATTTTAAATCAAGACTTAGCTGGGAAAAACCGAATAATATCCATCTGGTTATCCATAGGAACAAAACTCTGCTAAGGGAATATCAGTAAACCCTACTAGAGAAACCTCGATATAGCTCAAATGGGGAAACATCAACACAACTCTACTGGGGAGCTGCCAATAAATTCTACCAGAGGAGCAAGAAATAACTCTGCTGAGGAGAACATCAACAAACTCTACTGATGAGAATAAGAATCTGATGAAGGTCATATCCTATCTTTCACAACCAGTAGTGATAAATGCGTATCCTCTGCACATGATCAACAAGGATGATACTCTGGGTACTAACAACCTTGAGAGAAAAACTTGGACTTGTGGGGATAATTAAGAAGTTAACATCATAGCAAAAAGTCAACCTGCAGGGGATTTTAAAGCTCAACACAGGGTGAGAGAAAACCCAACAGTTGACTGCTATATCAATACTTCTTAGAAAGGAAATATGGTTCAAATTGGCCATAAGAGAAACAAACCATAACGGAGGAGGTAGAAATCTGCCAGGGATTCCTCTTCAAGTTTTATCACAGAACATGATGGGATCCAACAATCACATTCACACTTAAATATGCTTGATCATAAACAGGTTAGGGAAGGAGAACCATGCTCAAATTGAAGAAATCTGAATCAAGACTTTGCAGGGGGAATCCAAGTTAAAAATGCTTGAACTAGTGCCCAACTGAGAAATGCATCAATAAGACCAAACTTTGCTTGAGAGATTGTCAACAGACTGTATCGAGGAGAACATCAACAAGGACAAACTCTAATTGGGAGAGTATCGAGTTCATAATACCTTGAAATAATCTGCCCCAATATCTTCAAACTCTGAGAGATTCGTCGAATCTCGACGTAACTTCCCC